GTGATCCCCGAGTTAATAGTTTCCCCGCAAGAACTTTCACAAGCCCGTAGGTGGTACCCGAAAGCGCGGGAACGCTGAATTTGAATAGGCAAGGTTGAGCGTGGGCAGAGGGGTCGTTACCCTAAAATTTTAGCCTCCTAGACTCTGTGGTTCCCAAGACATTAATTTACCCATAAAAAACTTTCACGGGGCCATACACGTTACCAGCGGGTATGGGGAAGCTGAATTTAAATTTGCCGCGTCACCCGCTGGCGGGGAACACTATACCAAAATTTCAGCCGCCTAGCTTTTGTAGTTCCCGAGTTGAAAGTGCGGGACAAATATGGGACACACAAATACACACAGACAACCCCGTGATAATATGCGTTTTGTACTGCTGTTACGCAGCACAAAACGCATAATCAGAAATTTAAGAACTGTCACTTCTTGCCTGAGGGTATTTTCGGCGATTGCAACGATCCCCTCTGGGCATTGCTCCGAGGAGAAGCCTGCTGCATATTCCAGTGTTGCATAAGAAAGTGGCGTTAAATGAAAACGACTCTGATAATCGTAGAGAAGCCAAGCACGAGACGATGCTGCCATTATCTGAAAATCAGCAAAACAAAAAATCAACCACCATAACCTGCTAAAAGACCTAAGTTTATAGCCTAACCAAAAATTTTTTCAAAAAAAAAACCCCCTCAAAATGTCAGTTACACCAACCACGTTGATCATGTAGCTTAGGTCTGGATAGAGAAATTTGTGTAAAATTTATCAAAAAACATAAGCATGAGATTAAAATATACCGCATCTTTATTTTGAATTTTAACACGGAACAACTTCACACTTCTTGTTCCCAAATAACGTGTCCTGTTATCGGTCAGTTCACCGGTAACTTGGTCTACCGTGGTTCGTAGTAAGCAGCCATTCTGAAAATAACCGGTATCGTTTGCACTGTATTTCTTCTTAGTTTTTATCAAAAATAACACCAGTATCACTTTTTCATCGCTCAGAATCGATTTTTCAAATTTTTCAGTTTTGTTTACAAGTCCCTGTACGTCAAAAAATCAATTCTCAAAAAAATATCGATTTTCCTTAAAAGCTCAGTACTTGAAAAAGCTAAGGTAAGCAGATTCCAAACATTCTTTGCCAATCTGCAACCTAAAGAATCTGAAACCCGACCTCACGTGATCCTAAATTTCACGTACAAACACGTTAACAAGTTTTTTTGGTGTCGAAGCAGAAACGTCTTGATAACGTATTCACCAGTTCCAGACAACGCATTCCAGCTCCCCTCAAGTAACGCGCATATTTTTGTCGTTACAAATATCATGTGCTCAGTGATGAGGAAGAGTGGAGGAGGGGGGAAAGGACGAGGAAAGGGGGTGGGGGGAG